ATAAGTTTTCTACATGTACAGGTACAGCCAAACTTAAAAACCAAATCTTTGTATCTATGGAAGAATTTAGTAAAGGTTTTAAGTAATCTGTGGTAACTAATTCCATGACTTGATAATTTACTAGCAATAAATAGATTACGCTCATTGAAATCCAAAATGACACTTTAGACACGAGCATAGCGAACGAGTTGGGATATGTAAACACCGTAAGACGGTGCCAAAAAAGGAAAATTAACAATAAAAAAAAATTATCCCTATTGTCGTAAATTTTTTTGTATTGTTTCTGGTGTAATACTGAAATATCTAAATCTAGGAAAGGACAGTTATTGCTGTTAATATTTGATTTATCTATTCTAAAGTAAGTTCCTTTGGGTAAATTTCAGCAGTTCAGATGTTACCTGCCAGACAGATATGTGCAACTTACAATCATTCCATGCACCAAATAAACTTGACATTGCTTATAATATCTTAGAAAGACTTAATCAGGAAAACTTAACATTTGACAAATGAACCATAAAAATGAGGTCAAGGTCAGATGAACCCTGCCAGATGGTCATGTAAACTTTACAATCATTCCATGCACCACATAGTTAACCTTTTGGTTATATAATTATAGTATTAAAAAAATAGACCAAAACACAAAAACTTAAAATTGACCAATGATCCATGAAAATGACATCAAGGTAAGATGAAATCTACCAGTCCAATATGTGAACGTTACAAACATCACATACATTAAATATGGTTGACCTAGTATTGTTTAGAACTATCTGAGAAACAGAACAAAAGATAAAAGCTAAACATTGACCAATGAACCACGAAAATGAGGTCAAGCACAAATGAAGCCTGCCATTCTGACATGTAAATGTACACCTTACACCAAATATCTTATCTTAAGTCAATGATATTTGGTATACATGCAGTTGTATTAACATTAGCACATATCATTTCAATAATCATCACAGAATTTCTTTTTATATAAAATAATAAGACTTGCAGAAGTCAAAAAAATGTATTTATCATAAAAAAATGTGTTTTCATTTTCAGACTTTTTTAAGTCAGAAAATGACAGACTTTTTTAGGTCTATTTATGTTTATGAAAAAACTTAATTTTAATTGGTGGCCAAAGTGCACCACCTATGACATCATTAACCTGTCTGAGAGTTTACAAGGACCTGAGCTATCTATATTTAATTATCTAAATTGAACATCTTTACTTAACATAAGATTATTTTCCTCATTTTGTGTGGTTATAGATGATTGCATTGTAAAGTAAATAAACATCATCTCTGTTTTTTATGGCCCTCATGCATATTTTTCTTTAAAAGACAAAGCATTGTCTTTCAATGTTGTCATAATTTCATGTAGATGCTTGACCTTTTTATTAAAAATGTCTTTTGGTCTTGAAGTTGACCAATTTTGGTAACTTGTCGACTTGTAGGAGTCAATATTTGCAACTTTTTAATTCAGGTCAAATATTTCTTGCTCAACACTAATTGACTTATTGAAGTCATAATTTGTCTTAAAATAAAGGGAGACAAATCTTGAAACCTTCAAATTTAGACCTCTACGAGTCAAAAACAGATTTAGACAGGTTGGGCTTAAGTCAGGAAAAGTGGGGTATTCTCTGTTTTCAGGGAACACACCAGCTTTCTGGTGTAAAAAAAAACCTGTAAACAGGGACTTCTTTTTTCCTTGTCAATTTATTGTATGAAATCTACAAAAGCGCACCTTCTACATGTGATAACAATGTTATATGATAGCAAGTGTTTTTATAAGTTCAAAAATCAAGCTAATTTCAAGTCTTATTTGATGCTTAACTCACAACAAAACAATTCCTTTGTTCACCAATTCATACGTTGATCATCAATTATGAGAAGACAAAAAGATAAGTTAATCACTTAGGCATTTAAATTCAATGAATAGAAATTTTCAATAGAAGTGAACATAATTCAGTAATGATCAGTTACACCTGGAGCATGCACTGACTTGACTACAAAAGTTAAATGGCTTGATGGCATAAGTAATCCTTTCCAAATTAAACAAGGTGTAAGACGGGGAGGAATTCTATCAACCCATCTATACAAAATCTTTGTCCAAGATCTTCTGGTAGAATTGGAACAAAATTCAATAGGATACCAGTTAGGAAATATATACGTAGGATCACCAACTTGCGCCGACAATATAGCCTTTATATCGAATGACAAGCATGAAGTACAACTAATGCTAAATGTGCTCAGTAGATATGCAAACGAACACCACTACAGTATACATCCAACAAAAACCCAAATCATAGATTGTTCCAAAACAAAAAGTGATTACAACTGGAAACTAGATGGAAATGATGAAACAATAGCTAAATCAGGTGTACACCTAGGACTAACGAGAGCTGAAAGCAACGAAAGTCACATAAATGTACAAGAGAGAATAAAATTAGCAAGAAGAACTAAATACGCCCTCATGGGATCAGGCTGTCATGGTACAAACGGTCTAGACCCACCAACCTCATATCAAATTTACAAAACCTATGTCATTCCAAGGTTAATTTATGGACTAGAAGTGCTACCTCTAACAAGATCTGATATTGAACAGTTGGAAAAATTTCATAGAAAAAATCTTCGCCAGTTACAATCTCTTCCAGAAAGAACCGCTAATTCGGCAGTGTTACTACTGTTAGGAGCTCTACCAATAGAAGCAGAAATTCATAAAAGAGCTTTGTCTCTCCTACATGCTCTACTAACATGCGAAAATGAAAAAATACATCAGCTTCTGGAAAGACAAATAACAACAAATTTTGATAACAAAAGTAGCTTCTTTTCAAGAGTTATGGATATATTAGATATGTATGAACTTCCAACCATTATACAACATCAAGGCAATGTTCCAAAGAAAGAACATTGGAAAAGAACCATCAAGCTGAAAACAGACAAATTTTGGAAGGACAAGACCTTAACAGAATCTGAAAGAAAATCTAGCTTAAAGTTTATGAATACGGAAAACCTCGAGATCAATAAACATCATAAAGTCTGGAAAGTAAAGCATTTGCCTCGTTTTGAACTTAGAAAAGCAATAATCAAGACTAGAATGATAACTGGAACATACATACTTCAGGCAGACAAACATAAATTCACTCCCTATACAGTAGAACCACTATGCCAATTATGTAAAACTGACAATGAAGACATAACTCATTTCCTGACAACCTGTCCCATACTTAGTACTACGAGAGAAAAATATTTCCTTGATATAAGAAAAGAGATCACTGATAAAATCACACCAGCAAAATGGAACTGCACCTTCATGAACAAAACTGCGATAGTACAACTGCTAATTGACTGTTCAAAATATAAGGAGCTATTTGATAACTGTGAAAAATTCATGGAAAATATTGAAAGCAAAACCAGAAATATGTTATTTCAAATGCATATAGAAAGATTGAAAATTATGGACAACAAATAGCAAGACACATATTGCATATATATATATATACGTATATAAATATACATATATCTTTAAGTGGAGGAAATGACAATCAAATGAGAATAATGATTATCATAAGTGACATATATATACCAACACAGAGTCTGTCATTTAATAATTGTAAGAAATTTAAATAATTAATAAGCATTCCTGTCTTTTAACTCACTAATACATTTATGATAGGGTCCATATCATGTATATATCCTTTTAAATTTACTGATGGTGACAAAACAAGCTTCTATTACTTTATTATGATTTTTATATACATTGATCATGAAGTACATATAACATTCCACTGAGAAAACCTGCCTTTTTAGATTTTACTAAATTCTTACATCTTAACTTATTATTTTAATACATAGATCTTATTAAATAAAACCTCCTTTTAATGTATCTTTTATGCATATTAAAAAGCAAATTCAAATGAAACATATTTTTAATTATAAATAAAACTGAGATACATACATACATGTAAGTGAATCTACTTGTATGGTAGATTATTTTATAACAAAAAGGTCCATGTAAATATGCCTTGCATGACACTTTTATTGTTTATTTATATGTGCTGTACATATGTTGGAAAAAGAACATTTTTGTTTTATCCTTTTAAATTTTAAAGTTAAGGTAAAACTCCATATATATTTGGAGGTGCTCCTAATTAAAGGAGGCTGATACTAAGAAGAAGAAGAAGAAGCAGCTTGATCAACTGATTCCTAAACAAAAGATTTGTATGTTTTTGAGTTCTAGATAAAACAAGGCTTCACTTATTCATGTTTTGTTGTTCCTGAAATACTGACAGTATTTACAAATACTACTGATACAGTTAAAACATGCGTTTTTGTAAATTTCATGCCATAAATTAAAATAGAAAAAGGAAGTCCCTGTAAACTGGGGTTTTTTAACACCAGAAAACTGGGGTGATCCCTGAAAACAGGGAATACCCCACTTTTCCTGACTTGAGCCCAACCTGTTATACTTATTTATGTCTGAGCTCTGACTGATAATTGCACAAACATATAAATAATCTCCAGTTTCTATATTTCTTGCGGTTATTTTTCTTGACCTAAATAAGTTAAAAGATTTATTGGTGACCTAGGCCTGGGAACACTCAGGAACAGTATATCCAGAGACATATATACACATGTGTATATATGTCTCTGATTATATCATATGTTCCTGCCTAGGCCTTAAGGGCATTTTTTTTCAACCGACCTTGCTTCCTAAGAAGGGTACCTTACTGGCGCTAAAAATTTTCGCATGGTATTTCTTCAAGATCATTTACAACTTCTATCTACTGCTTCTATTTAAATCTATATCATTTATTTCATAGTTATTTTTGACATTTTGGCGGGAAATCATTGTGGAGAGTTGTCGTAACATATGAAATTGTAAATAGTGGATATACTTTTAAAAAATTATAAACGAAAGTGTTCAATTTAATCATATAATCTTAAAAAGCTCATATTGACTGTTAAAAGCAAACGATTTTAAATACCTTGAAATTACGACAATAATTAGTATTACGGCAGTTGTTTGGCAGCGGGTTTCCAAACTTCCGGTTTGATATTTGATTTTTTTTAAAGGTAAACAACAACATTTCATGCATTCTAGTTGGTATTTTCTATCATTGAAGGAAAAATTGTTAAACTAAATCCATATGCAATAGTCAATTTCAGTAATTTGGCAGAAATCATGGACAAACCAGGGATATTCATTTTATAAACTTTCTTCAAAATCATGTCCGATCTTGATTTGAAAAATTTTATTTGACGCTATTTTCAAATTACTGAATGCACAAACATTTGCTTACTTCATAATTAAAGGAAAAAAATACCAATTGCAAGTCTTTGTACCTTAATGTCTGTCCAGAACATTTTATATCTATGACTATGTTGACTTGTGCACAGATCCCTTTTTGGTTGTTCCCTTAATATGAGGCAGGCGTTACCTGTGAAAGGGGACGAAGTCTGTATGAATTATTTTTTTTTTAATTCAAACATATTTTTACTTCAAAATCTGTTCAAAAAAGAAACGGAAATACCCTTACGTTTCCGATTTCGGTTCTGTTCGGAATTTTAGTTGTGACGTTATTTATGTTATGACGTCATATTCAATGTAAACAAAGAAACGCTATCAGGTAACGTTTTTTCATATCAAGCCATTCAAGGAATTATTAAAAATGGAATTGGTATTGCGTTCCTTCCTATATTTTACTAGACTGATATTTATATAAATTTTACTCAAAGACTCATGCAAACGAGACCGGAAAAAGGAAGTAGATTTCTGCGCAAATGCGGGGAAAATAAAAAAGTTAACGATTTTGAGTTCATTAGTACAATGAAAAATTCGGGAAATTTTCCCGACTTTTTTTAATATTTTTTTTTTATTGATTTTTCTACCGTAATAGGGGACTTCGTCCCCTTATTAAAGTTGCCTTATTGCTTTTTTTGAATATGGAACACTTGATCCGAGAATTTGCAACACTTTAACTATTGCCATAAAACGTAAATCACTTTTCTTTTTTGACGTCACTGGCGTCAGACATTTTCTCATGTGATGTCTGTGGAGTAATTAAAAAAAAGCAATAAAGTGTATTCTGAGTCTTGGGTGTTTTCTGATTTGGTTGCTCTAAAACAATGATACATGTTCAGCTCACAAAAGTTATTGGTACATGTTTTTGTTACGTATAATCATACATTTTTTTGGTTATCAGATTTACAAATTTGCAGGTAAACATATGCACCGGAAATACAAATTTGCAGATAAATATGATTTATGTGTTGTCTCGAAGATGTTGTAAAAGCAAGACTAATGGGTATTGTTTCTGGCTAGTGTCAACAATTTTTAAAAGTTGCATTTTGTCAATTACATATGCACATAGTGAAGGTTGGCGCCTATTAAAATGTTTAAACCTGCTGTCGAATGACAAGCATGAAGTACAACTAATGCTAAATGTGCTCGGTAGATATGCAAACGAACACCACTACAGTATACATCCAACAAAAACCCAAATCATAGATTGTTCCAAAACAAAAAGTGATTACAACTGGAAACTAGATGGAAATGATGAAACAATAGCTAAATCAGGTGTACACCTAGGACTAACGAGAGCTGAAAGCAACGAAAGTCACATAAATGTACAAGAGAGAATAAAATTAGCAAGAAGAACTAAATACGCCCTCATGGGATCAGGCTGTCATGGTACAAACGGTCTAGACCCACCAACCTCATATCAAATTTACAAAACCTATGTCATTCCAAGGTTAATTTATGGACTAGAAGTGCTACCTCTAACAAGATCTGATATTGAACAGTTGGAAAAATTTCATAGAAAAAATCTTCGCCAGTTACAATCTCTTCCAGAAAGAACCGCTAATTCGGCAGTGTTACTACTGTTAGGAGCTCTACCAATAGAAGCAGAAATTCATAAAAGAGCTTTGTCTCTCCTACATGCTCTACTAACATGCGAAAATGAAAAAATACATCAGCTTCTGGAAAGACAAATAACAACAAATTTTGATAACAAAAGTAGCTTCTTTTCAAGAGTTATGGATATATTAGATATGTATGAACTTCCAACCATTATACAACATCAAGGCAATGTTCCAAAGAAAGAACATTGGAAAAGAACCATCAAGCTGAAAACAGACAAATTTTGGAAGGACAAGACCTTAACAGAATCTGAAAGAAAATCTAGCTTAAAGTTTATGAATACGGAAAACCTCGAGATCAATAAACATCATAAAGTCTGGAAAGTAAAGCATTTGCCTCGTTTTGAACTTAGAAAAGCAATAATCAAGACTAGAATGATAACTGGAACATACATACTTCAGGCAGACAAACATAAATTCACTCCCTATACAGTAGAACCACTATGCCAATTATGTAAAACTGACAATGAAGACATAACTCATTTCCTGACAACCTGTCCCATACTTAGTACTACGAGAGAAAAATATTTCCTTGATATAAGAAAAGAGATCACTGATAAAATCACACCAGCAAAATGGAACTGCACCTTCATGAACAAAACTGCGATAGTACAACTGCTAATTGACTGTTCAAAATATAAGGAGCTATTTGATAACTGTGAAAAATTCATGGAAAATATTGAAAGCAAAACCAGAAATATGTTATTTCAAATGCATATAGAAAGATTGAAAATTATGGACAACAAATAGCAAGACACATATTGCATATATATATATATACGTATATAAATATACATATATCTTTAAGTGGAGGAAATGACAATCAAATGAGAATAATGATTATCATAAGTGACATATATATACCAACACAGAGTCTGTCATTTAATAATTGTAAGAAATTTAAATAATTAATAAGCATTCCTGTCTTTTAACTCACTAATACATTTATGATAGGGTCCATATCATGTATATATCCTTTTAAATTTACTGATGGTGACAAAACAAGCTTCTATTACTTTATTATGATTTTTATATACATTGATCATGAAGTACATATAACATTCCACTGAGAAAACCTGCCTTTTTAGATTTTACTAAATTCTTACATCTTAACTTATTATTTTAATACATAGATCTTATTAAATAAAACCTCCTTTTAATGTATCTTTTATGCATATTAAAAAGCAAATTCAAATGAAACATATTTTTAATTATAAATAAAACTGAGATACATACATACATGTAAGTGAATCTACTTGTATGGTAGATTATTTTATAACAAAAAGGTCCATGTAAATATGCCTTGCATGACACTTTTATTGTTTATTTATATGTGCTGTACATATGTTGGAAAAAGAACATTTTTGTTTTATCCTTTTAAATTTTAAAGTTAAGGTAAAACTCCATATATATTTGGAGGTGCTCCTAATTAAAGGAGGCTGATACTAAGAAGAAGAAGAAGAAGCAGCTTGATCAACTGATTCCTAAACAAAAGATTTGTATGTTTTTGAGTTCTAGATAAAACAAGGCTTCACTTATTCATGTTTTGTTGTTCCTGAAATACTGACAGTATTTACAAATACTACTGATACAGTTAAAACATGCGTTTTTGTAAATTTCATGCCATAAATTAAAATAGAAAAAGGAAGTCCCTGTAAACTGGGGTTTTTTAACACCAGAAAACTGGGGTGATCCCTGAAAACAGGGAATACCCCACTTTTCCTGACTTGAGCCCAACCTGTTATACTTATTTATGTCTGAGCTCTGACTGATAATTGCACAAACATATAAATAATCTCCAGTTTCTATATTTCTTGCGGTTATTTTTCTTGACCTAAATAAGTTAAAAGATTTATTGGTGACCTAGGCCTGGGAACACTCAGGAACAGTATATCCAGAGACATATATACACATGTGTATATATGTCTCTGATTATATCATATGTTCCTGCCTAGGCCTTAAGGGCATTTTTTTTCAACCGACCTTGCTTCCTAAGAAGGGTACCTTACTGGCGCTAAAAATTTTCGCATGGTATTTCTTCAAGATCATTTACAACTTCTATCTACTGCTTCTATTTAAATCTATATCATTTATTTCATAGTTATTTTTGACATTTTGGCGGGAAATCATTGTGGAGAGTTGTCGTAACATATGAAATTGTAAATAGTGGATATACTTTTAAAAAATTATAAACGAAAGTGTTCAATTTAATCATATAATCTTAAAAAGCTCATATTGACTGTTAAAAGCAAACGATTTTAAATACCTTGAAATTACGACAATAATTAGTATTACGGCAGTTGTTTGGCAGCGGGTTTCCAAACTTCCGGTTTGATATTTGATTTTTTTTAAAGGTAAACAACAACATTTCATGCATTCTAGTTGGTATTTTCTATCATTGAAGGAAAAATTGTTAAACTAAATCCATATGCAATAGTCAATTTCAGTAATTTGGCAGAAATCATGGACAAACCAGGGATATTCATTTTATAAACTTTCTTCAAAATCATGTCCGATCTTGATTTGAAAAATTTTATTTGACGCTATTTTCAAATTACTGAATGCACAAACATTTGCTTACTTCATAATTAAAGGAAAAAAATACCAATTGCAAGTCTTTGTACCTTAATGTCTGTCCAGAACATTTTATATCTATGACTATGTTGACTTGTGCACAGATCCCTTTTTGGTTGTTCCCTTAATATGAGGCAGGCGTTACCTGTGAAAGGGGACGAAGTCTGTATGAATTATTTTTTTTTTAATTCAAACATATTTTTACTTCAAAATCTGTTCAAAAAAGAAACGGAAATACCCTTACGTTTCCGATTTCGGTTCTGTTCGGAATTTTAGTTGTGACGTTATTTATGTTATGACGTCATATTCAATGTAAACAAAGAAACGCTATCAGGTAACGTTTTTTCATATCAAGCCATTCAAGGAATTATTAAAAATGGAATTGGTATTGCGTTCCTTCCTATATTTTACTAGACTGATATTTATATAAATTTTACTCAAAGACTCATGCAAACGAGACCGGAAAAAGGAAGTAGATTTCTGCGCAAATGCGGGGAAAATAAAAAAGTTAACGATTTTGAGTTCATTAGTACAATGAAAAATTCGGGAAATTTTCCCGACTTTTTTTAATATTTTTTTTTTATTGATTTTTCTACCGTAATAGGGGACTTCGTCCCCTTATTAAAGTTGCCTTATTGCTTTTTTTGAATATGGAACACTTGATCCGAGAATTTGCAACACTTTAACTATTGCCATAAAACGTAAATCACTTTTCTTTTTTGACGTCACTGGCGTCAGACATTTTCTCATGTGATGTCTGTGGAGTAATTAAAAAAAAGCAATAAAGTGTATTCTGAGTCTTGGGTGTTTTCTGATTTGGTTGCTCTAAAACAATGATACATGTTCAGCTCACAAAAGTTATTGGTACATGTTTTTGTTACGTATAATCATACATTTTTTTGGTTATCAGATTTACAAATTTGCAGGTAAACATATGCACCGGAAATACAAATTTGCAGATAAATATGATTTATGTGTTGTCTCGAAGATGTTGTAAAAGCAAGACTAATGGGTATTGTTTCTGGCTAGTGTCAACAATTTTTAAAAGTTGCATTTTGTCAATTACATATGCACATAGTGAAGGTTGGCGCCTATTAAAATGTTTAAACCTGCTGCAATTGTTTGCACCTGTCCTTAGTCAGGAACATGATGTTCAGTGGTTGTCGTTTGTTGATGTGGTTCATAAGTGTTTCTCATTTTTGTCGAGCCTTCGACTTTAGTCGAAAAAGTGAGACATAGCGATCCTACATTCCGTCGGCGTCGTTGTCGTCGGCGGCGTCCACAAATATTCACTCTGTGGTTAAAGTTTTTGAAATTTTAATAACTTTCTTAAACTATCCTGAATTTCTACCAAACTTGGACAGAAGCTTGTTTATGATCATAAGATAGTATCCAGAAGTAAATTTTGTAAAAATAAAATTCCATTTTTTCCGTATTTTACTTATAAATGGACTTAGTTTTTCTGCTTGGAAATATTACATTCACTCTGTGGTTAAAGTTTTTAAAATTTTAATAACTTTCTTAAACTATCCTGGGTTTCTACCAAACTTGGACAGAAGCTTGTTTATGATCATAAGATAGTATCCAGAAGTAAACTTTGTAAAAAGAAAATCCATTTTTTCCTTATTTTACTTTTAAATGGACTTAGATTTTCTGTCAGGAAACAACACATTCACTCTGTGGTTAAAGTTTTTAAAATTTTAATAACTTTCTTATACTATTTTGGATTTGTACCAATCTTGGACAGAAGCTTGTTTATGATCAAAAGCTAGTATCTAGAAGGAAATTTTGTAAAAAAATAAATCCATTTTTTCCGTATTTTACTTTTAAATGGACTTAGATTTTCTGCCAGGAAACAACACATTCACTCTGTGGTTAAAGTTTTTAAAATTTTAATAACTTTCTTATACTATTTTGGATTTGTACCAAACTTGGACAGAAGCTTGTTTATAATCAAATGCTAGTGTCTAGAAGGAAATTTTGTTTTCTTCCAGTTAACATTACATTCAGTCTGCAGTTAAAGATTTTAAACATTTATTAGATTCATAAACTATCCTGGATTTTTACCAAACTTGGACAGAAGCTTCTTACAATCAAAAGATAGTATCAAGAGGAATATTTTTATTGATTTACTTCCTCATTTTTGTTGAGCCTGCGATTAACAGAAAAAGTAGGCGAGACACTGGGTTCCGCGGAACTCTTACGAATTTTTTATATATATTAGACCGTTGGTTTTCCTGTTTGAATGGTTTTACACTAGTAATTTTTGGGGCCCTTTATAGTCTGCTGTACGGTGTGAGCCAAGGCTCCGTGTTGAAGGCCGTACTTTGACCAGTATAATGGTTTACTTTTACAAATTGTGACTTGGATGGAGAGTTGTCTCATTGGCACTCATACCACATCTTCTTATATCTATGTAGGTCATTTTAAAGGGATCCACTAATAGTATGTCAATGATATTTGGTATGCAGTTGAAGAACATTGAATGGTCTCACTAATCAGCGAAAAGAAGAATTTTAGGGACAAGAAAGTTTATATACTATCAAAACAATTTATGAAAAAAGTCATTTAATTACAGGTTATTATTATTATTTTATAAACTTCAAAATTTTGTTGCATTTAATAGCTATATATGCTGTCTTGTGAATTTTTAGTTAAAAAAATATATTTTAAAGTATTTATAAATCTGAACATTTGGTTACAATCCCAGAATCATAATCAATGGTGTCACAACAGTGAAGTAATCTTAATAAATAGATTATGTAAATAAAAGCACATGGCAATTACTCTAAATTTAAGAGCATTCAGGATGAGCTAATGCTTTCATCATTCGATTATCTTAAGTGTCCATAAAGAATGGCTTAAAAATTAAAGAACAAAGAAATTAACTCACCCCTTTTCATCCATTCATTCACTTATATACAATGTATGTATATATATATATATATATATGCTGTAAACTGTAAATATATTATCTGAAACATTTCCTTGATAATAAAAAAAAAACTCTTTTCCTGAAGAAATGTTCATTTTCTTCTATCAGTATAATAAAATACTTAAAATACATGCATATAAAAAAACACACTTTTATGCATGTTTCTATATTTATTTATTTGAATACATTAATATCTAGATTTCTTGATGCTAAATTTATTTTCTTGTTGTTAAATTAGTCTTGTCACTAAATTATTATTCTTGTCGATACGTTATTCTTCTCTTTTTGACGCTTCTTGTCGCTAATTAGTGAGACCCACATTGAATAATTAATAAAACTAAAAAATCTGACTACAGTGACATGACAACTTTAATATGATAGTAGACTTATAACAGATTCTGCTCAGAAATTATCTGCGCTTCAATTTTAATCAGTATTAACACCATCAATAGATACATGTACAACAGAATTTATCAAACTTTGTGACATGCTTTCCTAGATTTTATATCCATAAATACCAAAGTTAATCATAACTGAAAGCAAAGGTTCTTGATAGAACTATCAACTGAAACATCATATTCTGGAAACCTTTGCATTCCTATGTGATAAATACAATATTTTTGACGAATATAAAAGAAAATTGTAGAGATAAGATATTTTGTAATTATAATATCATGTTTTAAAACTTTATTTTATTTTTCAGTCCAAATCTTACTATGAAGAACTTCCAGAAAAAGTAATCTTTCACTGAAGAACAGATGGGCTGAAAAAGGCCAAAGAAATGGCTGGAATGTATGATTATGGTATGGTTTTTTTTAGTAGTTTAAATGTTGCACTGAAATATTTTATATAATAAATACTTTCGAATTATAAAAAGTGAACACTTTCAAAATCTATGTTTTTACAAACATTAAAATATGATTGTCAAAAATTTGTAATGTTGGAGAAGTTCATTTTTAAAAATTTCAAACATATTAATTTGTTTTGTTTTCTGCTCAGATATATAATAAACTTTATATATAGTAAAAAATATAATTTTTTGAAAATCGTTAATACTGTAATAATTTGTATCGTTTATCTTGTTTCCATACAAAAGTGATGCAAGTGATATTATATGATGTCGGCGTCCTATTTTAAGTTTATCTAGTATTAGTTTTATTTGATCCCAAAATGATATCAGATATTTGCATGCCAAAAAGTAATGTTCATTATCTTCAATGACATTACATATATTACATAAAGGAGCTTTTGTTATTTTCCAAGAGAAAATGATTGTTTGGTTGGTAAAATGTAATGTAGAAATTTCCATCTTAACATTTTCAATTTATTATCTTGGATATAGTTAAAGATGAAGTACAACATTTGTTCTCTTTTCCTTGTATTGACTTGTTATCTAAATCAAGCATTCTGTCCCATTTTGAAATCCTATTGCCTTCTCATAATATCTATTTTAAAGGGAGATGTAAATATCTTTGGAGGAAATGTTTTGTTGATACCATTTTTCATTCTCTATCTTGAAATTCTGTATATTGTGTACTAACAAGTACTAACCTTATCACTGAAATGCTATTTACTAACGTTAACAAGGCCTGGATAATGTACCGGTACTTTGTGTATCTCTAACAAATGTAAATTTCAAATAAAATTATATATCATTCAAAAAAAAAAATATGATTGTACAGGAAGGCGTTTGAAGTATTCTTGTAATAATTTAAAAAAATGCTGGTATAATTTTTCAGAAAAGACCTTGTTACTGAAAAATATATTATTATATTTTTCAGAACAAGGTCTGGACTGTCTGAAATGAATTTAGTACAAGTTTGCTTTAACATCATATTTGTTTTTGAATTGCATCAAAATAGAAAAAAAGTTTGAGTCATGAATTTCTGTAGATTCAATGTTTGAACTGTTTATGTTAATAAAACTTTGTAATTTTTTCTGAACTTTTCCTAATTATGAATTATAAAACTTCAAAATGAAACTAAAAGTTGTTTAAAAAAATTGAACAAAATCTTGACTGTTTGACACAACACAACAATACTAAAGTTTCAACTAACTATAAACTTTTAGATAACATTTAATTATCAATACAAGTAGTGTAACTTATTCCACTGAAAAAGATAATTTGTCGAAATTGTCAAACAACAAGTGGTTGTGTCTTGAGCAATTTAGGATACTTTACTAATGAAGGACACCATAGTTCAACTCTTATATATACACTTCCATCAATTTTTATCTCGCCTTGACGGTGTCAAAAAGCGAGACAAAGGTATGCTGTTTCCGTTGGCGGCGGCGGCGTCAACAATGTATTAGTTTGTGATTAGGTCTAGTTCATGGTGAACCACTAGTGGTAGGTCAATGATATTTGGTATGCAGTTGTATTAGCATTGGCACATCTCATTACCATGGAGATTATTTGGCCCCGCCCCCTTAGTCAAGGTCTATGACTTTGAAACTTTGCTTAGTTTACATGTATTAGTTTGTGATTAGGTCAGTTTATGGGGAACCAGTAGTGGTAGGTCAATGATATTTGGTATGCAGTTGTATAAGCATTGGCATATCTCATTTCCATGGAGATTATTTGGCCTCGCCCCCTCATTCATGGTCTATTGACTTTGAAACTTTTGCTTTGTTTTCATGTATTAGTTTGTGATTAGGTCAGTTTAAGGGGAACCGTTAGTGGTAGGTCAATGATAATTGGTATGCAGTTGTATAAGCATTAGCACATCTCATTTCCATGGAGAATATTTGGTCCTTACCCCTCAGTCATGGTCTATTGACTTTGAAACTTTTGCTTAGTTTACATGTATTAGTTTGTGATTAGGTCAGTTTAAGATGAACCACTAATGTTAAGTCAATGATATTTGGTATGCAAATGTATTGGCATTTGCAAGTTTCATTTCCATGGAGATTATATAACCCCACCCCCTAATTATGGTTCATTGACTTTGAAACTTTTACATAGTTTACAAGTTAATGTTTGTGTTTAGGTTTGTTTAAAAGGAACGACTTATGAAAAGTCAATGGTATTTGGTTTGCAGTTGTATTAGCATTGGCACATCTCATTTCCATGGAGATTGTTTAGCCCTGTACCTTCAGTCATGGTTCATTGACCTTGAATATTTGCATATATTACATGTTAAAGTATTGCTATTTTAATTTCAACATTTGCATTATCAAAATTACAAAAAGGCGAGACATATCTCTGTGTTAACAGTTTATTTGGCACTACATTATGTTGACGAATTAAACATCTACCATTTAGATTACTGTATTAAAGCCATGTCACATAAAGATGAGCTCCTTTGATTTTGAAATATTACCATGTTTTATTAATAGTGCTATAATTCAGAATTTGACTGAAATGCACTTTTAGTATTTAGTTTTATTGGTATGTTTTTTTAAATTCTAGGTATAGATGATGTAGGTAGTCTGAAGGCAGAAATAAGAGCTTTGACAGATGATTTAAAACAATGCCAGGTAATGCAAATTTCTATAATCATAAAGAGTGGGTGGGGGGGGGGGGGGGGGGGGGTTCAAGTGCTATGAGATTCATGTCCACATGCACATTCACATTAATTTTTCAGTAACTGTTTGACATAAAACCATGTTATTTGGTGTGCAGATTTGAGCATATTTCACTGTTTTCTATTTTTTAGTTTTATATATATTCAAGTTAACTTTGAATAAGTTTAACATCCAAGTTAACTTAGAGTATATATGTTAAACATCCAAGTTAACTTTGAGTATATATGTTAAACATCCAAGTTAACTCTGAATAAGTTTAACATCCAAGTTAAGTTTGAATAAGTTAGATATCCAAGTTGACTTTAAACCGATTTAGAACTCAAGCTAAGTTTTTAGATGATAAGTTTACCTTTAATCTAATGTCATGGTGGTCGGTTGCATCTAGGGGAGTGTTACATCTTATAATCAGAATTAGGTCATTCTGACTCTTGTTTCATGTCTTATACTTTTTGATTAATTCCTAAGTCTTAATTCAGTTATCAAATACTGAGTTGATCCAGAAGCATATGACTTGATGGTAGAATGTATGCAGGGAGCAGACCAGGGCCTAATATGGATTTTCAATAAAACAAAAAGTTTGAAAGTTTTAAGCAACATGCTACAATATTTCCATCATTGTATGCATTCCTTATTTTAAACAACTTTTCCATACTGCAGCAAAGAGGAAGTGAACACAAATATGAGTTTTTGGCCATGTCCTTTCTACATAAAGCCATGTAAATACTACCTCCAGAAGTAAATGTCTTTCAACCTCTATCACCTGCCTTAATTTTTCTGTCTGCGATGACCAAAATTCTGTCAGTTTCTGAAAAGCCATATCAGATTTGCTTATGTCTGTAAATAAACATAAAAAATGATAAAAATCATGATGCTCATTTTTGGTCGGGTAGGATGAAATCCATAATCAGCTAATAGTATGGGGGTGTCGGGCACGTGGGCAGGGAAAGTTTGGTACATAATTTGTGTAATCAACTCCTGCTGCAGTTTTCAACCTAGATTCCTGAAACTTCACAGGAAGATTGAACATATGTTGAAGTTGTGCACTTGTTAATATGGAATTGTTTGAAGAATTTTTTTACATTTTCCGCACTTAGGAACTTACTTATTTTCTAGTAAAATTAATAACCTTCATGTAATTGCAACTACATTGTAAACATTCTGCGTGGATAAGTCACAAATTTTGCAACTCAGCCATTTGAGACTTTGACCCAAACTGTTTATTAAATTAGAGCTGCATGAATGGAACTTTTAAGAAGATATACATGTTTTAAAAGAGCCTACCCAGAAACATGACACTTTTTTGTTTGCCCTCAAGTTTGAAACCAAAATTTTGTTTCCTTTTGTGATGCTTATTTCTTGAAGTTTAGGTAATGAACTAAGCATCAAACATATAACTTTTCTCTATCTTTATTTTTTCTTGGTATAATTTGGACATCATTGTGAAAATAAAAAAATAAAAAGGCATGAAAATGTATAAAAAGTATGTATGATAAATATGCATCAATTAAGCAATCAAAACAAAAAGCTAAAAAAAATTTGTTTTGTGTTCATGCTGGTAATTGTCCATAAACTATTTGTAGGCTGATAAAGATTTTGTTTGGTCATTATGGAAGAAGTTACAAGTTGCTAATCCAGACATTACACAGGCCATCAGTTTAGTCCTTCAGAGGTAAGTAGTTGTCATCATTGTCGTGTGTTAATAGCAATCATAAAAGCACAATAATTGCTTGTATTATGGTATATCTCTGATTCCATTAGACAACTCTCCACCAGAGACTAAATGATGTAGAAGTTAACAACTATAGGTCACCGTACAACCTTCAACAATGAGCAAAACCCATTCCGCAGAGTAAGCTATAAAAGGCCCTGAAAGGACAAATGTAAAATAATTCAAACTTCAAAACTAACAGCCTGATTTATGTACATAAATTAAACGAAGAAAAAAAATATGATATACAGCAACAAATGACAACTACTAAATTAAGGGACGACATCAAAAGTTCAATGTAGGATAAAAAACTTAATTCACATAGTTTTTTCGCTGTCCCCCCCCACCCCCCTCTTAACTTAATTTGAGAAAATTGATTGACCAATATGGATATATGTAAAATCGATTTTGGATAAACAAAACTTGCAGCAATGTTAACCTCCCCACCCCCAAACTATTTGATTTAAGTTTTTTATCCTACATTGATCTTTTGATGTCGTCCCTAATGGCTCCTGACTTTCGGACAGGCACATACACAATGTGGCGGGATTAAAGATGTTTGCTTGCACCAACCCTCCCCCTAATGTGGGACAGTGGTATAACAGTACAACATAGAACATAATATCAAAATACAAGCTCATTTTCATTTTATTATATTACCTTCAAACAGGGGCTTGACTGTCTGAGAGGTGTTGTTTGATTTTTTAATAGGTCAGTGATCCTATATGGATTGAAAATATGTTGCATGTACATTCGTTACATGTACAAAAAGGTTTCATTTGCCCTTGACATCAGTTTCATAGTGCATTGCAACTTTAACTAATTCCAAAAATTACAGCAAGCTAAATATTTCAGTCATTTCGTCTTTAAAATAATTCACCATGTGCATATTGCCTGTATTTTGACGATCCATGTTCATGGATGTTGCAATTTTTTTCAGAGAGAAAGAAAAGAGTGAAATTAAGGACAGAAAAGTTTTGGAAGTTCTTCAAATCAAGGATGAGCGAATTGAAGAGCTGCAACATGCTCTTACACAGAAGTCTAGAGAGGTTGCAGAACTAGCTATCAGGTATGTTAAACATGTACATTTTATCTTGTTTTAAAGTTGATTAATAAGAAATGTTGTTCTGAAGATTTCAAAATTATATCTGCTATCTTACTTTGTTGATATACTCATATAAGATTAAATTTTCATGACGATTTATATTCAGGTATTTTTCTTTAGCAAAATTTGTGTAAATGAATTGAGTGCTAAGAATAGTAGGTTTACAGTATATTTAAAACATAAGCTTTGTATTACATAGTTCAAATGTCAGACCAAAAAGGGTTTGTAAAATTTTTATAAATTGTATCCTGAAGATAATAGCCAAAAAGATATTTTTATACAGAAATACAATAAAATATTTATGGATAGTGTTAGTAAAGGCAAAAATATTATTTACTTATGGCCTTAGTTAGTCTAGAGTTAGACAACAACCCGACCAAAGAGCAGAAAACAGGCCAAGGCCACCAATGGGTCTTCGACACAGGGAGAAAATCCTGCATGAATACATGTTTTGCTCATTGTTGAAGACCGTAAGGTGACCTATAGTTGTTAACTTCTATGTCATTTGGTCTCTGGTGGAGAGTTGTCTCATTGGCAATTATACCACATCTTCTTTTTTTAAAAATTTTTGCTAGTACAATATATGATCTCCCAATTGGTGCTTTTTTCCCGTAAAATTTTGTTATTACAATGCAAATATCTTTACATCATAATGTCCTATGACGCGTTTTCCCCCAAATGACTCTAGGTCAACCGTCAAAATTGGAATCTCTTTTATTATATCAAGTATATATAAAATTATACAAAGAGTAATTGTAATCAATCTGATTATCTAAACTGCTACATTATTAAATTGCTATTAAATGTCCAATAAGTTGTTTCAATTTACCCAAGGATTTTATAGATCTTTTACTCTTCAATAGATTTTCTGCTGTGATATCATGATATGCCTTCTGTTATTGAACTGACGAGACCAAAAGTTTTCCTTTTCTTGATTTCTTGAAATTGTGATTTCCTGTAATTCAAAAAATAATTTTTTGTTTGTTTTTATTTAATTTGATTTTTTTTAATCTTAAAATTAATTCTTGACAATCTACTATATCATATCATATTTTTTTTCTTTTGATTTTAGATCAAATGTTAATGAAGATTTGAACAAGTTTCAAAATGAGGTTGATAGACTGAGAGAGAAAAATGCAAATTTAGAGCTACAGGTAACTTTCAAATTTTCATCAGTTTGTAAGAGATATTTTTCATGTAAATTTTCTATATGTAGTAACTACGCTTAGGGGCACTGTATCATAAACATCCTCTTCTTAACTTATGTATATACAATTATACACAAAATTTTATGACTGCTTTCAGTGCTTTGTGTAGTGATATCCATAAGTTCTGTAAATATTTGCTTGAAATTGCATTTTGAAATGGATTAAAAATAGTTCTATATTACTCACTTTTTTCTAATCTAATACTGCAAATTCAGAAATTTTTGCAGGCATTTATTATTGAGCAATTGATTAGATTTTATTTTTGCAAAAAAATGTCCCATTACCATTTCAGCAAAAATAAGAAACATCGCAGTACAATCTGAATTTCCAATATTTTAAAAAAGAATTTGACCTATTTAATGAATGACAAATTGTATAGTTTTGACATATACTTTTGAAACAACTGTTTCATACTGGAACCATTTACTTAGAGAATTGTAATTCATACAAGCAGAATACTATAGTAAATTGTCAAGTTGTTTCTTACATACATTTTTGCTTGAAAAAATAAAAAAAAAACACTTGAAAAGCAACAAATTTTAAAATGGCTTACCTGTGACAACAGAATTACTATTGCATAGGCATGACTCTTTAAGTACTTTTTTTAGTTTAGTAACTGTATAATCATAATGTTTATACTGTCTAAATGGGTATTCTGGGCCTCAGTTGTCTAAGAAGTTTATCTACTGTATCTCTAGTCTGTCAACACTGAGGTTGTGAGTTGTAACCCTGCACCTTGCAGGTGTATCTGACTCCAATCTTAATTGAAAGGAATTACTGTGGATTCATTATTTTTCGTTGGATACCAATTTTCGTGGATTTCGTGGGTACAGGTGAACCACAAATTTAAATGTTCAACGAATTACAAATTTTCCATTGGCCTGTATGCAGACTTGGGTAAAACCACGAAATAAAATATCCACGAAAGTGTAAGTTTTTCTCAATCCACGAAAACTGGTACCCACGAAAGTAAATGAATCCACAGTACCAGTTTTTGACAAAAGGTCGTGTTTCTCTCCAGCTCTACAGATTCCTCCACTTGTAAAAACTGGCCACCACTAAAAATCCAAACGCACAAAACAGTCATTAAACACCAAAAAATCTATCAATCAATTAAATAGGTATTCTTACCATTTTCGATTTGACTTAAGTAAAACTATTCAGTATTCATCAATAGCCCTTTCATATATCTTTAAAGGAACTCACTCTAGAGTAATCAATAAATTGCGAATAAAACTGGTTAAGTCTTCTAGCAAATCTATCGTTTGTTGCTTGACATGGGACTTAATGATCAAAACAACTACAAGAAGACATCCTTCCAGAAGGCATCATAAATACCAATGTACACAAGTATGAAAACTTAAAAAAAACAAATACAAAACTTTGAAATTTATCTGAAATAAACAATGAAAATTAATGTACTACATAAATATATTTTTAAACCACAATTTTGCCTAATTTAGGCAAAATGAAGGGCAAATTGAGACAAAATGAAGAGATAAATTTTCTTATAAAGAAACACTCCAAACCTGGCAAATGATTACTAGTATGCACCCCAAACAACTGCATCCACAAATAATGAGGGACAAGTAAATTTTAGTTGCATTCTTTTGACAACAGTTCCTTATACATGAATATGATTGGATAAGATTGATTGGTTTTATGAAATTCAAATTAAAAATTTGGTAATTGTGTCCATATCTAAGGTTTTAAAAGCTTCTGATGAATTTTCTTACTTTTTGGTATACCTGAAATCACAAATTGACTATGGGCACAATTGATTTATTATCTTACATGTATTAGGCGGTATTGACGTTTGATTTAAGAACCTTTTAATTCTGTTCCCATCATAGTATATTAAGTATTAGTAACAAGTTTATTATTTAGCTTTTAAGTTAATTTGGTTTTTGAACATAAAGACAATTTTTCTAATTTACGGAAATGTATTTTTGTGTAAACAAATTTCTTAGTGAGAGAAATTGATTCTCGAAGATACATGAACATGCTATCAGAATCTATTGGCATTGTCAACATATAAAAAACTTATGCAAATCACTGGCATTAAAAAAGAACGTAGCTAATTAATTTTATCTACCAAAAAGGACAAAAGGACATCTAATAGGACATTAATCACGGAAGTCGTTCCTTGTGCAATAAGTCATAAAATCCAGAAATAGTCCAATAAATCTAGCTCGCGTAAATCATTAAAACTGTCAGAAAACTAATTTGTCAGAAATATTTTGTTTGTAACTGTAAGATCAGGGATGACACTATGTCCTACTCAATGATACAATCTTAAACCACAGCACAAATTGACTAACTAGCCAGCTAATCAGTTTGACTGTCGTAAAAAAATCAGTTTTGCTTGTATTTCGTCCGCTGACAAATTAAGTGTCATAGAAATACCCGACAAATACATAACAAAGTTTTAATGATTGAGATATTACATGTTTTTGTATTATTGAGAAGGCATATCTTACTGTTCTTATTAGTTTCTATATCTGTTCTGAGACAATTGAAATTACGCGTTCTGTAATTGAATTTTGAAATTCTATATCTTCGAATAATGTGGAGTCTCAAGTTGACAGAAAGTTGTGATTTTATGACCTTTTAAGTGCATTAGAAATGAAAATATGAATACTTTCTGATGTAATTTGCGTCTAAAACATAAAGTTTGTTTTATTGCATAATTGTATTTGTCTCATTTGTCAACTCAACAAAGTAGGCTTTATTTTTCTTTTCATTAATTTAGTAGTAATAAAGTGTAAATTAACCAATAGATTTGTCCCTTTAATGACACACCAAATTTTGAGTAGGCACTTAAACAAGAAGTAATTAAATAACTTGTTAAAGCATTGATTTCAGTCAGTCAATGTTTACATAGACACACATCTTATAGAAACCAGTTTCAGAATGAATTTTGTTTAGTTAAAGTAAGAATAATGTATTTTTTTAACAGTTGATAGAAATGTGCATTTTCAGTTGTGTTTTTATCAAAAGAAAACGTGACTGTTTCATGATTTCTTTATAAGTTAAAGTAAAAAAATTTGAAAAGAGGCACAGTATTTTTTTCCATAAATTATTTTCATGTTGCATTGAACTATTTAATAAAATCTGTTTATATTAATAACCTTTCTCTTATTTTTGGCTATATGTAGAGACTTAGCTGTTGTAACATTAAATCTCATTTCTAAGACTTAAAATCTTTCTGAATGTTATCAGTGCTGACAAATAGGTTTTACTTAAGACACTGGCAGTTTTAAAGTTTGGATCATTTGCCCAAAGAAAAAAAAAATTAAAAGATACCAAGGCTATTTAAAGACAGATGTCTTTTAAGTAATTTGTTTGGTGGGTGGCTGTATCATTGACATTTACTCCTCTTATTCATAATCAATACCAGGCCAAATAAAACAAGAGTGCACACGCTGAAATGTCTCGCCTTCTTTACTAACCATTGATTTTATGTTGATAGTCCTAAATATAATGCTTTACTACAAGTAACACATAAACTTAACCTGATCCAAGAAAATGAGGTCAAGGTCAGATAAACCAAACGAGAAATACATGTACACCTTACAATCATTCAATAAACCAAACATAGTTGACCTATTGCTTATAGTTTATTAGAAACAGTCTTAACCAAGAAAACTTAACATTGACCAATGAACCATGAAAATGAGGTCAAGGTCAGATGAACCATGCCAGACAGACATGTACACCTTACAATCAATGTATGCATTAAATATAGTTGACCTATTGCTTATAGTATCTAAGAAACAAACTTAACCATGAAAACTTAACATTGACCAATGAACCATGAAAATGAGGTCAAGGTCAGATGATACCTGCCAGAGAGACATATACACCTTACAATCCTTCCATACAACAAATATAGTTGATCTATTGCTTATAGTTGAAGAAAAACAGACCAAAACACAATAACTTAACACTGAGAAATGAACTGTGAAAATGAGGTCAAGGTCAAATAAAACCTGCGAGACTGACATGTACATCATAAAATATTTCCATACACCAAATATAGTTGACCTATTGCATATAGTATTAGAAAAAAAGACCAAAACTCAAAAACTTAACTTTGACCACTGAACCATGAAAATGAGGTCAAGGTCAGATGACACCTACCAGTTGGACATGTACACCTTACAATCATTCCATATACTAAATATAGTAGACCTACTGCTTATAGTATCTGATATATGGACTTGACCACGAAAACTTAACCTTGTTGACTGATCCATGAAATGAGGTTGAGGTCGAATGAAAATTGTCTGACGGGCATGAGGACCTTGCAAGGTACGCACATACTAAATAGTAAATATACTTATCCTATTACTCATAATAAGAAAGAAATAAACATTACAAAAAATTTTGACTTTTTTTACAAGTAGTCACTGAACCATGAAAATGAGGTCAAGGACAATGGACATATGACAGACGGAAACTTCATATCATAAGGCATCTATATACAAAGTATGAAGCATCCAGGTCTTCTAGCTTCTAAAATATAAAGCTTTTAAGAAGTTAGCTAATCAGGTGATCCAAAGGGTGAGCAGTTCCTGCTCCATCGGTGACACCCATCATGTTCCTTCTTTTAAATGGATAGATGAATCATAACAGTTGATACAGTAGTAGTTTGTAAAGGTTTATTGTCTAACACAAGTATGTTACTGGATAAATTAGGCAATGTAACACATCAGTCCCTTAATCATGACCTGTTGTGAAAGTTTGAAATGAAAGCAAATTGTAGTGATTTCAAAGGATAGATATAAGAGCAAGACCATAAAATATAGAAACAGCAAAGGCATTGAAAAATAAAATACATGTATCACAAAATACAATTGCATTGAAAATTTTGTGATGAAGTCATGTGTCAGTCCATATGAGTGAACTGCTTCTACATTGATGGCTCTCGTTTTTGTTGCTCA